TGTGTCGTGAAAAAAACAATCGTCAACTATAAATGTTTGTTGTGATGTTAGGCGGAATTGGTAAGCATGTCAGAGATAGACACTGCGTAGGAGTAAAGCTATATCAAGCTTTATGTATTCTAGTCTCCCCAACGAGCCGTTATTTCAATCGTTACGACAACCGTTACGTGACGATCCGAACAACGGAAAAGGAGTATGAAAAATGTTATTTAAATGAACCAGACTGTATCCATTAGGGTCAAGTAATTTATAATGTACCAGTTTGAGTATGTTAACGGTCCGATCCCTTGGTACCATATGGTACAGACAAGAATATTGTACATGGTACATATGTTTGGTAAAATTTGTTTATACTGAAGCTTAATGTTAGGCCTTGGTTCATATTATTGGACAACATTTTAAAACGAGAATAACAGAAGGTAGTTTACAATACGTCTATGGTGTAAAACCACAGATGTCAGTGGCTTGTTAAAATCGAAAAATAAAAATTGCAAAGTAACAATGCTATGTCTGTAAAGCGTGTGAATCTTCCCTCTCTCTGTCTCTTCCAACGCCGCAAATTTGTGGCACTCTGATTTCCAGACACTTCGAGTTTTCGAATTTGTATACGAACTAGATAATTAATATTCAGTTTTTCATGTTAGTTCATTACACAGATCAAGGCAAACTAAAAATGTCTAAAAGGTTTCTAATCGTAACATTTTGGAAGAGAGGTTTTGGGCATTGAACATTTGGCATACTTACTTTCTCTTATCGCACCAGTGTGTCGAGCAATTTTACCCTCGGAGAAGCCTATTTTCTGATCTTTTTAATCATTCATCCCTTGTGACGTGCCGACGGTCCTGCTGGTAAATGTATATTTGGAATATATGATCCGGTCTGAAATCATAGGGGCAGAGAAAATCATATTTTTTTTTTGTCTGGAATAAGATGAAAGTTTCACGGAGGAGGCCGCACAGATCCCATCAAATTATCGGGATGTACCCATGTCGCTGACGTCTGAAACAGGTCTTTCATTTGCTAAACGTAATTACTTTTTGGCTTCAATGATAATAGTTTGTCACGTTCAGAATCGTGCAAAAATTTAGCCTAAGCGCTTGAGTGTGTATATTCTTTTCCGGGATGTAATTCCAGAATTTTGTTCTAATTGCATTACTAGAATGGTCAGTTTTTGTAGTTTCCACTTTCGACTATTATCTATAGATGGAATCTCTTTATTGCAATTTTTCTTGGAGTTAAAACAACCAAGCCTTGCCAAGTTGGCTAAATAATACTACTATCCACTGGTTTAATCGATTTGTCGTTCTTTTCCCTTCACTGATGGTTACTCTGATATTTTTAGATTCAACTTCAACGTCAAATCAAGTTATTATTGCGGCCACTAACAGACGTAATTGCAAAACGAATACCCAGCTAAACTGGCTACCAAGCAACGTGTAGGTCCTTGAAGCATGACACGGCGAAACAATTAGTGCGAATGACGTTTTGTGAAAATAATTGAACATTCTTTCTTTCTTAAAAGGAAGTGGTATATTGACCAACTTACAACAAGCATGCCGCTGATAGAAAGAATGGTATAAGTTGAGGGTTTACTTTAATAATCAAGGGTGAAATTCCAGTTAAGCATAGAAAATGAGAAAATGTAAACAAAAAAGTCCCATAGCATTTCATTTTATAATTAGGGAGGCTTGCCTTTCACATTTTACTTCGAAATGTTAATGAATTCTCGATCATTTAGCAGTGTGAAGTTTGAAATATGGATTCATATTTTGCGGTTTGGCATATTTGTGGGGTGTACGGTTGAGAACTATAATTTCTCGTGCCGTAAAAAAACGATATTTTTGCTAGTGAGTTGCATCAAGTGTATTCTCTGCAGTCAAATAAATTGCAATTAGCTTGAGGCAGCTGCGCAACTCCTTATCAACAAGGGCCACAACAAACGAACAAGGGCTATATCTGGAGAGTGTAGTATTTACACAACTGAAAAATCACAGGGTTTGCTTAACGTATATTTGGTGGCGTGTATTTAAGAGCACAAATTACGTGTAAGAAGGGAATCTAAAGCAAACACACAGATCTGCTGGGTTAGCTGTTTTTCACCATAAATTATGATCATTAGTTGTCGGATGAGTTGCTTTATTTTGGTTGTTAAACTTGAGTTATGCCTTAACTGAGCAAATTTCTCTCACTCGTATTTGCCAGTCATACTCTGTGCCATCCGAATCACGTCGATTGCATTTGAAAAAGTTAAAAAAGTTGAGAATCAGGTGCGAACTGGAAAACTTAATTGTCAGTTGAGCACCGAGAGGAAACTCTTAAAGCACTTGTTCCAGCAGACACTCGTATTGTCAATCTTATCAGGAAAGTAAGGGACGTTTGAAAAACATCGCTCAACTAGAACCTTTCTTTAAAACGCTTCGTTTAAGCTTTACTGGCATTCAGTAACTAGAGAAAAACTGTTATCAGTTAACCATGTCAGATGTTCTTGACGAGCGCTGGCTAACTTAATCTTCTCGCATCTTTTATGTTCTGTTCGACTAACAAAGGAGTTGCAAACCTCACTCTAGCTTCAGAGGCATTCAAGGCCGCAACAATATTAACAAGAATAGGAACACGCTTCC